CGAACGACAGAGTCAGGCGGTGGCTGAGACGACGGAGACGGCGGAGCGAAGAACAGGCGCGACTGTGTAGTGCCACCAGCACCAGCAGCTCCAGCACCCCCAGCGCCAGCTCCTCCAGGACCAGCTCCACCAGCAGCAGCACCCCCAGAACCGGCACCTCCAGTCCCAGGGTCTCCAGCCTCAGTGCCTCAGCAGCAGCACCCTCACGCACAGCGCCTCCAGCCCCAGCAGCTCCAGTACATCCAGTACGAGCACCTCCAGTACGAGCACCTCCGGGACTAGTGACGTCAACAGAAGCACCTTTAGCGTCAGAACTCCGAGCTCCAGCAGCGCGACCCTGACGGCGACCGTACCAGTCGTGCAGCTGCTGTGAGGTGAGAGGCACACGCAGACGAAGGCGACTGCTCCAAGGAGACCGCGCACTCGCAGTCTCAGTACCCTCAGGGGTCTCACCCCCAGACTCAGCACCCCGAGACTCCGCACCCGCAGGCTCAGCACCCCCAGACGCAGCACCCCCAGGCGCAGCACCTCCAGTCTCCTCACGTGTAGGCGCAGCACCCCCAGGCTCAGCACCCTCAGGCTCCTCACGCTCAGGCATAGCACCCCCAAGCTCAGCACCCCCAAGCTCCACAACCCCAGGCTCCGCATCCCCAAGCTCCGCACCTCCAAGCTCCGCACCCCCATTCTCCGCACCCCCAGGACCAGCACCCCCAGAGACAGCACCACCCCCAGCAGGACCGGAGTCACCAGTGACCTCAACAGGCGCAGGCACGGGAGGGTCTACCTGAGAAACACCTGAAGGAGCAGGACCTGGCGCGGGAAGGGGGTCTACCTGGGGAGGACCTGGAGTGAGGAAGAGCGGCGGGGGGGTGCGAGGGGAAGTACGGTAGGGAAAGAGACGGTAGAAGGGAACGGACTCGTCAAAGGTGACGTCCTGAGACGCAAAGACACGGCGCGAGGCGGGGTCGTAAAACTGCCAGCCAGGCGCGTCAGAGGGAAAACCAAGGAAGACACAGGGAATGGCGCGAGCGGAGAGCTTGTCCGCGGTGGTATCGCGGACAAAGGCACAAGCACCCCAGACCCGGAAACGCGACGCATCGCCAACCTTCCCCGTCCACAGCAGTGTGGGCGAGGTCTCCGGCAAGGAGACACGGGGCCAGAGGTTGAGCTGATGCGCAGCGTACCGGACCGCAAACGGCCACAGAAAATGGGGGGCAGCCGCATGGATCATGGAGGTGCGAGCGACCTCCATGACTAAGCCAATGCGGCGCTCAGCAACCCCATTCTACTGCGGAGAGGCCGGAAGCGTGAACGTCTGGCGGATGCCGTGCTCCGCACAGAAGGCTGCTAAGAGGTCGGAGGAGAACTCACCACCTCTGTCAGAGTGCAGACACAGGACAGGAAAGTCCGACTGGAACCGCTTGCGGAGCTGGAGACGAACAGCACGGATCCAGGGGATCAGAACATCAGGGACCTGACCCTTGCGCTGCAAGGGGAAGACCGTGGTGTAGCGTGTGTAGTCGTCGACAACCAGCAGGAAGTACCGCTCGCGGCCCTGCCCCTGGACGCGGGCGGGGCCCCACACGTCCAGGTGGAGAGTCTGCAGTGGAGCCTCTGTGGGAGGGAACGAGGAGGAGTGAGGAGTGGCGCGCTGCCGCCCCTCGACGCAAGGAATGCAGGGCGGCGCAGGCGAGGGAGGGAGGGCAGGCAGAGACCTGGGAAGGCCAGAGACCAGGCAGCGAGAGTGCATGCTACGAAGGCGAGGCAGGGAGGGGTGACCAAGGCGGTGGTGCCACAGGAGAGTGTCGTGCGACAGGCGGCGACACTCACACTGGGTAGCTACCTGAGCAAGCGCGTACAGCTGTGGAGACAAAGGGGTGTAGCGTGAAACAGTGGTGAGGGTGTACAGACTGGACCCCGGCTCACGAGTGAACGTGGCCAGGTGGCGGCCAGTCCGAGAGCACGTGCAGATCGCCACACGCTGCCCTCCAGGAGTCCAGGTGTCAACCCAGTGATCCTGAAGGACGGCGTTGCTCACCAGGTTCGTAGAGAACGAGGGAACATGGAGACCTGACAGCTCACCAGACGGGACCGCCGGGCACGGAAGCACAGTCGTGGCTCGTGCAAGCACTGGGCCCCGAGAGGGGTCAACCAGTGAAACAAGGACAGGTGCAGGGAGGGGGGTGACGGTGGTACGGTCGCAAAAGAAACAGCGAGAAGCACCAGAGTCAAGTGTAAACGTGTGCAAGGCCTGAGCTGACGCAGTACCAGAGAGGGCAGACTCACTAGCACCTAGGGCTGCAGTCTCTATACCTGGGTCAGGCGGGACACACAAGTAACAATCACCCTCAGCACTAACAGTCAATGCATACATGGCAGCAAGGATTGCATCATAGTCAAGATCATAGATAGGTACATCACGCCTAAGCAGATCTGCCCAGTTGGGGAATTCAGTAGCATCAGGAAACTTGGCGCGCCAGGCGTCGCTGAGCCGAGCAAAGCAGCGGTACTCAGTGTGAAAGCCGTTGCATGGGCGACCCTTGCGAGGGCCAGTGAGAATGACATAGGGGCAGCGACCAGGACCCCCAGACGCCCCACGCCCAGCATACCAGTCATGGAGCTGCTGAGAAGAGGGGGTCTGGCGCTGCTGCTGCTGCTGCTGGCCCCCACTGGAGCTCCCCTTCTGGCCGGTCCCACTCCCGCCCCCACCTCCACCGCCACCACCACTACCTCCTCCCCCACTACCGCCGCTGCCACCTCCACCACTCCCGGTCCCACCGCTGCCCCACCCACCGCCTCCACCCCCACGGCCACCCCCACCACCTCCACCACCCCCGCCGCCTCCACCACCGCTCCCTCCACCGCCACCTCCACCACCCCTGCCACCCTTGCCGCCCCTGCCACCGCCGCGCTTCCCACTAGGAGCGGAAGCCGCTGCGACCTTCTCAGCACCGAGGAGGTCGACTGCAGCAGCAGCTGAGGCGTAGGAGGGGGCAAGAGGGGAGGGGGAGCACCCCTCAAAGAGGGGAGTGCGAGGAGTGCCACGGGCAGCACCTACATCGAGAATGTTCTTCTCTGCTGCTAGGAGCTGCTGCTCGAAGTCGGCTAGAGTGATAGTGGTAGGGTCCTTGGCGAGGAAATGGTCCCTGACCGAGCTAAGAGTGTCAGGGAGGCGGGTGACGAGGATGTAGAGGGTAAAGTACAGCGGGGGGGTGTTCGTGGCGAGGAACTCGTCGGTAAGAGCGGCACGAAAGCGAGCGTCACTAGTGCGGAGGTGAGAGATGAGGTCCTCATCAGTGGTAAACGAGGACAGGTCGGGGAACAGGTAGGGCAGGATGAGGCGTCCTACGGCTGCAGTGGCTGGGGAGGAATAGCGCGCAACTACAGTGTCATTCAGCGCCTTAGCAGTCTTGTGCTGACTAAAATGCGCGCGCTCAGTGATCGGCAGGTGGTTGCGGATAGCGAGGCGCGCAGCAGCATCGCGAGTCTGCCACTGTGAGCGGTCAAGAGCAGGAGTCAGCAGGAGCAGCGGCAGTGCCAGCAGCGTGATCGAATAGTGAAACGTCGTCTTTGGCATCCGTCATAAGAAACAGCTGCAGGTCGTCAAGCCAAGTGGCAAACTCTATCGGGCGACCGTCAGGCTCAAATGCGAGAACATTCAGTGTCGCCATTATAGCAGTGCAGGCAAAAGCAGCAGGCCAAGGCAGCAGTAACAGGCAGTAGGCAAAGGCAGCAGACTCATGCGGCAGGCATAGGCGCGCAAGGCAGGCAGGCGCATTTCAGGCAGGCAGGCACACTTCAGGCAAGCAGGCGTACTTCAGGCAGGCAGGCGCAAGGCAGGCAGGCGCACTTCAGGCAGGCAGGCGCAAGGCAGGCAGGCGCACTTCAGGCAAGGCGCAAGGCAGGCAGGTGGAAGGCAGACAGGCGCAAGGCAGGCGGCGCGCGGTTAGAGCGGACGCGCGGCTCACAGGCAGGGCAGGGCGGGCGGCGAAATGCGCAGTGCGAGGCAGCGGCGCACAGGCAGGGCAGGGTGCAGCGGCGACGGGCAGCGTACGGGCAGGGCACGCGCGGCGAATGGCCGCGCGTGGTGGCAGGCTGCGCGCGGCTACGGGTTGCGCGTGGCGTCAGGCTGCGCGCGGCTGCAGGCTGCGTGCGGTGGCGGGCTGCGCGCGGCTGCGGGCTTCGCGCGAGGCAGCAGCGGGCGTGCGGGCGGCTGAGCGCGGCGCGCGAGGCTTCAGCGGGCTGCGCGCGGGCTGTAGCAGAGGGGGCGCGCTAAAAAAAATTACGCGCGCGTGCAGCCGAGGCGCGCGCGGGCACAAGGCAAGGCAGGCATGCAGGCAAGGCTGTAGGTGAGGTAACACAGTAACCGGTGGGCCCGAATCTTAGGTCCTAAGGACCTACTGCTCTAAATACCATCTTAGAAGCTAGGCATGAATTAATGACTATCGAGAGATTTTGGTACAAGGAGAAAACTTTAAGGGGTTGTACCCCACATTATCTACCCCACTACAGCCTACCCACAAATATAACTTATGCATATGTTTGACAGTGTGTCACGTCATTTGTTTTACCAAAAAAATCTACTTCATACTGGCCCTTAAAAAAATCCAATATTTAGCATTAGTGTTATCTCAGAACTTGCAGAGTGCGCACAATTTCGAATAACGAGAATACTCGACCACAGAATGACGATACAATGAGAAAGGCACGACTAAATATGGGAAATCCTAGCTAGGCGAATGGGTATGGCGAAGATGGCTCGGTGATGATTGCAATTGGTGTGGAGGCCGACTCGGGAGTGGTTCGGCTGACGAAATAGGCCGAACAGGTTCGTCGCGTGACCCTCGGGATGTACTCGCTAAAGTGCGAGTACAGTAAGGAATTACAGTTCCTTAGAATTAGGCGACATCCATAGCCCCCTTTTTAGGTGTCGAACTTGAATGGCTGAAATAAGGCATGAGGGATAGTGCAAGCATGAAATTACCAGTGGGTGTAGCCCTATGACACGATTGTATCTCCCCTCTTCCCTTTTCCGATTCTCTACTTCCATCACCATGAGCAGGTCGTACCAGTAATTAGGTCGTACGTAATCGCAGCCCGCAACTTGCGACGTCCTTTATTACCGGATGGCTGGCAGATGCTCACGTCATGCGCGCGAGATTGGCAGCAGCTTTTTAGTATGCGGGTATCGCGAGTGAAGAAAAACGAGGAAAGATTCAATTCCTGCTCGGACAAGTACTCACGCGTGCTCGTAGACAGTTCCGTACTTACGCTGGGCTTTCAGGATGTGAAGACGAGTCAAATTGGTCACGTATGTGACGTGGCACGATCAGCTCGGCCGTTACTGCGACGTGGATCGCCGTGGGTGGTGGTGTACTGACGTGGACGAAGATGCGGAGGATTCTTGGCAAGTCGGACAAGGCCAAGCGCGCGGACGCAGCGAGAGGCAAGGCATTTTTACCAACTGCAGTTCAGTGCTTTGCTCAACGCCTAGCGATAACCAAGCCTTCCCTTCTTTCGCGACGCCTCGAAACTTCGCGAATGTCTTTGGCGATTCGCCCGCCTTCCCCGCGTCCTCGTCGCCCGCAATCTGACTGCTGGTTCAGCTCCGTCTGCCTTCTTTCTCTTCCTCTGTGTGTATCTTTCTCTCAAGCTCTGCCTCCCACGCTGCTCCTCCCTCTCCTCCTTACCCCCCCCCCCCCCCCTCCCTCCCTCAGCCGCGCCCATCCAGGGCGCGTGTGTGCGGTTTTCCCTGGCGGACATGGTAAGCGCGACGAGCCACTGGGCGCCGCAGCTGCTGGTGGGCGACGGGTACCGCCTCATGTTCAGGGGCGTGGACCCGCGCGACGCCGCCACCCCGTGGCTCCTCAAGCGCTGCCGCGCGCGCGAGTTCGACGAGTTCCACGCGGAGGTGGGGGAGGGGGGGGGGGGGGGTGCGGGGCAAGGGGATGGATAAAGAGTGTGGTGTTGGAGAGCAGAGAGGTGATAGATGATGGGGAGGAGAGGGAAGGTGCAAGAGGCAGAGGGGAAGGGAGGAGAGAGAATGAGAGTGAGGCAGGGCTGATATAACACCTCGCTACCCACTGGGTCAAAACGAGGGTGTTATTTGGCGCAGCGGAATGCCCTTAGCACGAGCCCCACAGGCGTTACAACTGACATCGTGCAGCCTCTTCAACTGGGCTGTTTGGAAGATTTATTATTGGATTGTCTTCCACACCCTATAATTCTCCTCAAAGCAGCTCCCTCGGCATATAAGTAGGTCGCTGTGGAGCCAAGGCAGGTGAAGGAGGAAAGAACAGGTGTGACGCACTGCTCCCTCCTTCTGCTTACCCTCTCCCTCCCTCCCCTCCCACCCGTCCCCCACCCTTCCTTCCCCACCCCCCACCCCCTGGTGTGCCTTCCCCGCCCCTCACCCCCTGGTGTGGTTGGTGTGCGCGGGGCGAGCAGGTGGCGGAGATGGGCAACAAGAACCACCCCAACCTGCTGCGCCTGCTGGGCTACTGCGACGAGCAGGACAAGCAGGGCCGCTGGGAGAAGGTCGTGGTGTACGAGTTCATGCCGGCTGGCACCCTGCTCGACCAGTTTCAACCGGGTGGGTCACGCATGCCGCATCACAGGCACACCTCTCGTTCTGACTGAGCCCATGTCGCAGTCAGTGCGCTAGGTGCCCTACCAACCCAAGCATGTACCTGCTTGCCTCTTCTTCCTCTCCCGTGCCCGTGTCCTCGCCGTGTGTACTTCTCTTAATGAGTCTGCTTGCATAACGTCTGTCCATCGCATGTGTTTTATCCTGTTACCCACGATTTCTACCCCACGGCGTATTCCTTCTCTCCGCCTTGCAGGTTGCACCGGTGTGACGTTGACCCTGCAGCAGCGCCTGGGCATTGTGATAGGAGTGGCGCACGGGATGGAGTATCTGCACAGCTTTGGCATCTTGCATCGCTGCCTCTGCCTTCGAAGCGTGTTTCTGGATGGCAGCATGCAGGTGAGTTAGTGCTGTGAGGGCACCACCATCCTCCACACGTCATGACACAACTCGCCAACATGCTGCACACTTGTGTCGTGCTGTGGAGCAACATACATATAGGACCACCGGGTTACTCCCTGGCCTGTTATACTGATGCTGTAGAGACCATTTCCCCCTCTCCCTCAACCCACCTTTCCTGCCCGGCCATGCACGTCACTGCATCACACTTGCCCAAAAAAACGCCATGCCATGCCAGGCGAAGATTGCAGGGTTTGACTACGTGACGCGCAGGGCTGCAGCGGGGGGGGGCGAGCACGCGGTGGTGGGCGTGCGTGGGTACGTGGATCCGCAGCTGCTGCTCTCCCAGGAGCACTCACCCACCAATGACCTCTACAGGTGCCATGCCAGTCTTTCTCAACTCTCTCCATTCACTCTCTCTAGCCAAGTGCACGCACGTGGAGGCTGGTTTGTTGCTCCCAGTGCCTTGCTCCACTCTCAAATCTTCAAGATTCTGCACTGCCCCATACTCGTTTCTTCCCCATCTCTCCCTTCGCTCCTGCAAGCCGCTTCCTTCCTCCCCTTTCGTCATGCCTTTCCCCTTCATCCCACCCATCCCCTCCCCGCTGCCACCAGTCTGGGAGTGGTGCTGCTGCAGCTGCTGTCAGGCCGCATTTCCGACTCTTCAGGAAAAACCATGCCACAGTTTTTTAGTGACACTGTGAGTGCGAGTGGAGCATCAGGGGGGGGGGAGGGCGAGGCGAGTGTGTTATGAAGATGCGGACACTCGAGATGATCGACACAAAAGGTTTATGCCTTATGGGTGCACCAATTCTATTCGCCAGTCAACAGATTGCCCTTTTTTTTTGGCTTTAACGAGTAATCAGTAGACAACGAAACCAAGGTTATTGGTGGTTGACGAATTTAAACAATGTCAACGGCGCCAATACTCGATCCTGCACATGATCGATCCTTTCGATTGCCCGCGTCCTGAGAGGCATACCAACAGTGCAGCACCTCCATCGCTAGCAGTGATTCAAGTGCGATTCCGCTCCGGAGACTTCACAGGATTTTCCTTGTGTTACCGCAGTCATAAGATAGCAGGAAATTCACCCACGCACACCCGCTGATGCGGAAAACAGGATACCCACCCACTCCTATCTTTCTTTATTGCTACTGGGAACTACTTTTCCGGTTTCGCTCCTCCCCGCGTGCTCCTCTACTTGTGCTCCACCCCCCATGCTCCACCCCCCATGCTTCTATGTTCGTCCCCTCTCTATACGCCTACCCTCTTGCTCCACCCCGCGTGCTCCCTCTTCTATGTTCGTTCCTCTCTATACTCCTACCCTCTTGGTCCGTCCCCCATGCTCCTCCCCCATACTCCTCCCTCCCTTCTTCTCCTCCAAACTGTTTCCCAGGCCCATAGTGTTTCTGTGTTCAAGGTTTATGCCTCAGGTCTAAGTTCCGCATCTGACTTCCCCCGTGCCCTTCACCCCACACCGCGTTGAACCTCAGCTTGAAGCCAACAACCTGGCTGCTCTTTTTGATCCCGCCCTCGCCTCCTCCTTGCTTCCGCCCATCACCAACACCAGCGCCAGCATCCCGAGCAGCAGCTCCCCCACCAGCTCCAGCACGCTCTCTAGCCTCGCCAGCACGGCACGCACACCAGCTGCCAGCGCCGCTGATGCACTGGGTGCTCCCATACCCAATGCTCTAATTCCCACCTTGGTGCGCCTGGCTCGTGTGGGGCTCGCATGCACAGCCATGCCTGCTTCCACCCGACCCTCCTTGGGAAGAGTTATTGCTGAGCTGGAGATTGTGCGGGATGACGTGGCAACAGCATTGAGGCAGGTGGAGGAAGAGGTGGAGAGGCAGCAAGGGGAATTGCAGGGAGACAGGGGTGATTTGGCAGGCAATATCGTGGACTCTTGGTCCAATCCTTCCCACACCGACCCTTCATCCACATCTCCTAATCCTTCCACTTCCCCTTCGCAGCTTCCCCCCCCCCCCCCTCCTCCTCCTCCTCCTCCTCCTTCTCCTCCTCCTGCTCCTCCTGTGGTCGCCCCCTCCTCCTCATCCGCCCTGCCCCTGGCGCCGCTGCTGTGCCAGCAGGTGGGCATGGCGGACGTGCTGCGTGCCACGGCCGGATGGGCAGCGGACAGGCGCATTGGCAGCGGCGGGTTTGGCGACGTGTATCGCGGGGTGAGCCCTCTGGACGGGTGCACGCCCTGGGCTGTGAAGCGCGCCCGAGTGCTCACCAATGACTTCCGACGTGAGGTGTGTCGTGTTGCTGTGATGCTGGGTTGATGGTTGTGGGATGGGGGTGAGAGGAGGGGCTTAGTAATGAGAGGAGCGGCGCAGGGAGAGGCCAAGATGCACACAAGTGGTAGCCCAGATGGGAAACGAAAGAAGCGAAATGCAGAAAGCATGAGCTATTAATCTGATACTGAGTTTTTTCCCTTGGAGGTCCCTCCCCTCTATGCTCCCCTACTCCCCCCACCCTCCTCAACCTGTCCCCCCATCCTACCCTGTCACCCCCTCCCTGCCTCACTGCATTGGGGTGGCATCAGGTGAAGGAGATGGCATCGAAGCACCACCCGCACCTGGTGCGGCTGCTGGGGTTCTGCATGGACTATGACGCGGTGGCGGAGCGCATGGAGCAGATCGCCATCTATGAGTTCATGCCCAATGGGGACCTGCACCACCACATGCACGCCCATGGCACAGGTGGGCACCACCTCTTGCTCCTCCTCTTGCTGCTCTTGCTCTGCTCCTGCTCTTTTCATCTGATCCCTTTTGATTGCTTGTTTTTTTTTCTTTGTTCGTCAGGTACTAGCACCCCACTGACACTGCAGCAGCGGGTGGACATTCTGATAGGAGTGGCGCGTGCGTTGGAGTATCTGCACAGCTTTGGCATCGTGCATCGCGACATCAAGCCCGCCAACATCCTGCTCGATGCCCACATGCAGGCGAGTGCGTCTAGGCGAGTCGTGACTCCGTAACACCACATTCCATCGGGATCACTTTGTCTCTGTCTCATGCGGAAAACTGTGCTCTCTTGTCTATATTGCAGGCGAAAGTGTCAGACTTTGGTTTGCTGAGAATGGGTGAGGGCAGCGGCTCACTGCAGTCCACGCGAGTGATGGGCACACCAGGCTATGTGGACCCCGTCTATTCACTCACACACAAGGCTACTCCAAGTGCTGATGTGTACAGGTGGGAAGGCGTGCGCGCACGCATGCATATGCTGCCCACTTATGCTCTCTGCCCAAGTATGCGTGTCCTCATCTCTCGTCTCGCTCAGGTGCTCTCTTTTCACCAGTGTGTCGTCATTGCACATTGTTTTCTAACCAAGAGTCATACCTCCAACTTGCCCTGCACACCGCTCTCATCTTGTTCATTTTCTTCTTTTTTTCCTCCTCCCTCCCTCCCTCCCTCCCTCCCTCCCTCCCTCCCTCCCTCCCTCCCTCCCTCCCTCCCTCCCTCCCTCCCTCCCTCCCTCCCTCCCTCCCTCCCTCCCTCCCTCCCTCCCTCCCTCCCTCTCTCCCTCCCTCCCTCCCTCCCTCCCTCCCTCCCTCCCTCCCTCCCTCCCTCCCTCCCTCCCTCCCTCCCTCCCTCCCTCCCTCCCTCCCTCCCTCCCTCCCTCCCTCCCTCCCTCCCTCCCTCCCTCCCTCTCTCTTTCTCTCTCCAGCTTTGGAGTGGTCATGATGGAGCTACTGACCTGCAAGCATGTCGTGCTGCCATGTGAAGATGGGTCACACATCAACATCAAGGACTGGGTACGCTGCTGCTGCTGCTGCTGCTGCTTTTTTCTTCTTTCTTCCTTTATACACAACTATCCCTCGTCTCTGACTTCTCTTTCTGACTTTCACTTCTGGTCCCCCCTCACTTCCCTCCTTCTCCTGTTCCCCATGCCTCTTCCCTGCCCTCTCACCCCCTCCTTCCAACACTTTTTCTCACCCTCCTTTCCCTTCCTCCCAATTCCAACAGGTGGAGCAGGAGGTGGAGAGAGGGGGCAGTGCGTCTGTTGTCAATGGGGACCTCAAAGCACCACTTGCTGTGGCCTCCAATCTAGTTACGATTTCTCTCTCATGTGTCGCAAAGCTTGTATCAAATCGACCCAGTATGAGCCATGTGCTAGCTCAGCTTGAAACTCTCCGCAGGGAGCTGATGGGTAGGACACATGAGGGAGTAGCTAGGCAGTTAGATGCGAAAGTTCAACAAGTGTCACTAGATTGTAGGCAATTGGAGGAGGAGCTTGAGATCATCTATAGGACTTGTTACAAATAGTTACCGTATGAAACAGTGAGCTTTCCTTCCAGTACCGGTAACAAGGGAAGATTGTAAAAGCGAGCAGGAATGCGAAGGGTCAGAACGGCGCGAAACATCGCGTACAGTTGGCAGCATTTGGACAGTCGGACAGCTGCATCAAGAGGGATTCGGACAGCTTGGGTGTTTTCGAAGTTGGTTTACCATCACACTCAGAGGCGAGAACGCGAGTTTCGGCAAGTGGCATCTTGACCACCTTGAAGATGGCATGTGGCACCTCTCCGGCCACTTGACAACAAAAGATTCGCCAGCGTGGCGACAACGAAATTGTGGGAGGGGGGGGTGGGGGGGGCGGGGGGGGAATCTCGGCAGATATCATTTGAAAGTTCCGTGTAATTTCGTAGAGGGAGGGATTTTCGGGTCCTCCCGTACTTGCACCTACTCGTTATCAGCTATACTCATGTGAAATCTACATGAAAAGGGGGGTGTTATAGAAAATCACCTAAAAAGAGGGGGTATAATGCCCGCCCCGCACAAGCTACCCGTAGGTGTACAATTGCGGAGGGGTGTTTTATCCGGGAGAAAACGGTACGCCCCGGTCAGCCAAGGACCTACTTCACGCATGTTTGTTGCAGCCGTGTCTACACTGAAGCGGAAAGTCGTACAACTGGACAAATCCAACGCATTTCTCGATGCACCAATTGACGGAGATGTGTATGTTCGCCCACCTGACCCTCTGCGTGATGGGGGACAAATTTTGGAAGCTCCGGCGCAGCGTATATGGCATGAAACAAGCACCCCGATTGTGGAATCAACAGCTACGAGGAGTGCCGCTGGAGCTGGAAATAATGCAGTCGGAATCTGATCCATCGTTGTTCATCTTGAAGAGGGCTGGAAAAGATACAACGTGGTTGCTCACTCACGTGGATGACATCCTCATTTTGTGCGATGATGAGGAAGGCTTTCATGCAGGCATTCAACACGTGAAGAATAACTTCACCTTGACTGCCAACTCGACCATGACCTAATTTATGGGTCTGAACGTAGCTGCTTCTCATGACACCATATCTTTGGGACTCACCAAGTATAAAAAAATCGTTGGCAAACTCCGAGATGGTTGCAGTGCTGTCCAACAACCAAGCAAGCAGCAGATTACCCTACCAAACTGGTCACCTCCAAGCAGCACCTCACCTGCAGTTTGATGAGTGGGCTTCAACCTAGTGTACCATCTAGAGACATGTACGTGGATAACTACAAACTCATGGGTGGGGGGAAAATGGCTGTGGAATGTATCAGATGGCACTGGAGTGAGACATAGAGTCACAAAGCATAAGGGGTTGACCTTCTCACTTGTTCGAGTAATGCCGATAGGTAGGGGAAGTAGGCAAAAAAGGTGCAGCCGGTCGCCATCTTTCGACCTCTGATGCAGTGGAACCGTGCGACTCGTTGCCGCTCATGAACTGCACCACCTGAGGGAAGAATGAGAGTACACATGGTAGCATACACCATGCATACCTGGACTCCACATTTGTGCATACCTAGTGTACACACTTCTGCGCACCTCGTGTGCACGTTTCACATTTCTGTTGGTGCAACCCTACGGTTTGCACTCGGCTTGTTGTCCGTGTGCGTGCATGCATGTGTGCATGGAATGGAATAAGGGCATGAAATTATATGTATATTTCATGCTTATAATGGTGTGTGTATGATGGGTCATGATGTTGAGTGTGTGTGTGTGTCGAGTCAATAGCGAGTTATCGCTAGTCGCGTGTTACGCGGTCATTTTGGTGTGTCCCGGGCGGTTTCTATTTTGTCGTGCACGGTTTCTATTTTGTCGCTTGTCGAACGTTCGGCGTGTCGCAGGTGTGTGCAGCAGACCCATCAAGGATGAGTTTGTGATGAAGAACCCGAGCCTTGGTTCAAGCTTCAAGTGATTTCGAAGCTCGCCAAACAAAGGGTTCACCTCAAAAGATGTTGAAGATAGTTACATTACAATGTGTAGTGTAACATTCTCTTTAGTGTAGGCCCTTGTGAAGGGTAGTTTCGAGACCCTTCTTGGTTGGGGACAGTGTGGCACTGTTCCACATCACTGTACCTCGGCTCTTGGGGTTTGTAGGAGCTGGGAGTCATTCCCAACTCGTAACTCTTCCTAAGTTGTGTTCTAAGACTATGTTGTTGCCATAGTGCCGTTCGTTCAAACCGACATTGTGTCGTCAATTCTTGATGAAATCGTGCGATCTAAATTGCCTATTGTAGGCCACATTAAGACGCTCAAAGTCAATTGGAGCTGTGACCAGATCGCTATGAACATTTGAAGCCGCTGTGCAGAAATCTGACTGTGCACTCTATCTTTCGTTATAGGCACATTTGAAGCCTACTTGAAAATAACAAGTGGTATCAGAGCGCCTTGGAGCAGCTACGACGATGGCTGGACCTGAAGAAAGAGGTGACAGAGGTGCTGGAGGTAGTGGAGGACCCCAAGCACAAGGTCAACCTCGTGATTCAGCCATGGCGTCCGTGCAACCGACTCTTGGACCTTCTAAGGACGAACCAAGAGTGTTCGGGCTTGAAAAGTTCAACGGCGACAACTTTGCTGAGTGGTCCTTCAGGATGGAGAACGTGTTTGACCATTATGACCTGCCGAAAGGTGACCCTACACCCCCTGGACTATTGGGTGATCGATAGCGGCGCTACCTACAGCATGACACCTCGCCCGGACTTGCTCACCGAACTTGAACCGTCACCGGTGAAGCATGTGACATCGGCTTTGGGGCAGCGAGCAGAGGTGAAAGGCATGGGCAAGGCAACGTTGAAAGGTGCTGATGGGAAGATTATGGGCCTCAAGAACGTGCTTTGGGTGCCCAGCCTTGCTGCGAACCTGATTTCCGTGCGGCGATTGGCAAAGGCCGGCATGGACACGAACTCAAAGGGAGCCAAGACCTACACCGCGAGGATTGGCGACCGGATTTTTTGGGACTTTCATGAGGACAGGGACGTCTACAACGAGATGTAGCAGATTCCTGTGGTCCCTATGCCTAAGGAGAGGCAAGTGGCAGCAAGCGTCAGCACCAAAGGTGAAGCGGTTGGTAGAGGCGATGCGCGAACGTTCGCGCAAAGGACAACGAGCTCAAGAAGAGCAAACCAGGAGTGACCAGCAAGCTTGGTGACCCTAAGGAGAGTGGTGCAGCAGCTAAGGAGCAGCACAAGGGTGAGGAGAACCCCAAGGCAGCAGCGGAGGAGGACTACGGAGAGAGCATGTGGGGCGCTATTGCGAGCGCGGCCTTTTCCAATCCGACTTCGGCTACGGGGGAGTGTGATTGGTTGACTTTGCATCGGCGCATGGGGCATGTGGCCCTGCCCATCTTGCAGCACCTAATGAAGAACCGGATGGTTGCTGGCATACACATGAAGAGGGAGCCCGATGAGGTGCTTGGCTGCCCGACGTGCATGCAAGCCAAGTTCACCCGGTTTCCGTTCTCGAGCTCGGAGGCAACGGCTAAGGCACCACTTGACGAGGTGGTGATGGACGTGGTGGGCCCCCTGAAGCTTGGAGCTGCTGGAGCAGAGTACTTCCTCACTATAGTGGATGTCCACACCCGCATGACCTGGGTGTATGTGCTGGCCAAGAAGAGCGATGTGGCTGAAACGTTGAAGACGGATTGGTTCCTGATGGTGGAGCGGCAACAAGACCGTCTAGTCAAGTCAATCCGCACCGATCGAGGGGGAGAGCTCCTGAACAAGGAGTTTGGGTTGTGGCTGAAGAAGAATGGTATTCCACACTCCCTCACCATGCCATACTCCCCTGCAATGAACGGCATCGCCGAGCGAGCGAACCGGACGATCACGGAGGCGGCACGCGGGTTGCTCATTGAGGCCGGGTTACCCGACTATTTCTGGCCTGATGTGGTGCGGAGTGCGTGTATGGTCAAGAACAGAGTTTTGACTCATGTGGGAGCAGGCAAATGGGTGCTTTATGTGGAGTGGCTTGGAAGGAAGCCAAAGGTGGATATGCTTCAGGTATTCGGATGCATGTGCATAACGCTCGTGCCCAAGCATCTTCGGCACAACAAGCTTGGTGCCAAGGCGGTGTGGGCCGAGCACTTAGGCATGGCTCAAAACAGCAAGGGATGGCTTCTTTGGGACCCATTCACCAAGAAATGTTTGGTGAGCAGGGACTGCAAGTTCATGGAGAACTTCATGTACAAGGATTGGAAGGCGGAGAATGAGGCAAAGATAGGCGTGCGGTTTGGGGAGGTGAAGAATTCCGGCCTGGAGCACGTGGAGCCGCCCTTGGAGCTGAGCAGCGGCAGCACCACCACAAGGCAATCTTCCCTTGTGAATGGGGGAGAGGAGGCCAAGGATGCAGAGGAAGAAGAGGAGGAGGTGCAGCAAGTGAGCGAGCGTGCACCGACACTCCCTTCCCGCACTACGAGCGCTCCACGGAACCGCACCACACCGCAGCAACGCCAAGGCCTTCAAGTCCCTGCAGCTGAGCAGAAAAGAAGGGGGAAGTGGAGAGTTCAACCCCTTAATAGGTTGACCTATGATGCACCGGGGAAGCAGGGCAAGACAGCCCCTACTGGAGCGGCAATGATGGTCGGAGACGACGAGGAGAGTGACTACGAGGAGTGTGCCTTCGGTCCGGTGGAGATGCCGGGAGAACCAGCAACTCTCAAGGAGGCCTTGGAGAGTAGTGATGCTGAGGAGTGGAAGAAGGAACCCAGCACCAATCGCTATAAGAAGTTGCAGAAGGTGTACAGAGATTTTATCGTGCTCACCTGCGATGGGCTCAACGGCGAAAAGTACACGCTGACCTTTATCGATGCGTACTCATGCCACGTCTGGATCGCCAACGTCGACGATCCAAGGCTCCAGAGGTCTTCCATATCTGGCTCGCACACGCACAGCG